TGGCCTGCTGTGTTCATCCAGCTCTACACCTTGTTATCACAGTCTTCAGGAGTCTTTATCTTTGATGTAGAGAACAGTATCTATTCCCCTATTACGATTTCATTTCTATTCTCTTGTCCTACTTGGATGGCACTCTTTACCATGATGCTATGGTCAGTTCTCTCATCTTCCCTGCAGTCTGTGCCCCTGACCACACCAGGAGCATGAACCTCATACTTACTGGAAAAAGCACTGACTGAGGTACCCACAAAGCTAGATTCTCAATCCCCTCCATCACTGCCTCACTCATAGCCACACCCTCCTGTCCCTGACCATGGGCTAGGTTTGAAGTAATTGATGTGACTGTGCTGTGAAACACAATGTCCAGGTATCTCTCCCTCTTCCTAATGTGTCGCAGTGTTTACAACGTATACTCCAGCTCATCAACTCTGAACTGAGGTTCTTTAAGCAGCCAACCCTTGGTGCTGATCTAGTCACATGGATTGCAATGGCAACCAGCAGCTCCCACATACTTCAGCTGCAAAACATCATTTGCGCAGCTATTTCTATACTGTTTAACTAATTAACTTGGATATTAAATATTTCGAAAGTGTATTTTTTTAGTTGTACTCTACAATTGTAATAACATCTCCTTAATTAAATCTCTTGGCCGATCAAAAGAGACACTGAAGAAATACCTACCAATAACCAACCTGTTTTCCTGTGATGTTATGTTTTGGCTTTGACAGTTAGTACAAGTTGAAGTGGCTCTCTACCACTACTTTTCATTTCCTGCGGCTGTTGCCATTCTCAGGAATCAAAGTGGGAACTAAGTATGAAATTGAATGATCAACCATTATCATATTGAATTGTAGAGCACTTCAAAGGGCTGAATGACCTACTTCTGCTTCCATTTTCTGGTTTTCTCACACAGGTCTCTTGTTTTCCGTCTCCACTCTCTCTTCTACTCTTTATGAAGCTGCTGTTCCTGCTGTCTATCCTGCTGTTTCAAAAACATATGTTTCTCTTCTCTTTTGGTCCTTAAAGGTCCTGGTGACTGTATCCAGGCCTTCTCTCTCCTTCTCTTCGATGTCTGTAATATTACTTTATTCAAAGAATTTAATGAGTTTGATCAATTACTCCTTTATCCTTACACTTTATCATGATTTCAGTTTTTAATTTCTGATTATCCTGGAGTGGTGCCTCCGTCCTTGTCCTCCCTAAGCCATTGCAACCCACAGGGACCACAGCAGCTAGATTTTTCAAGTAACTTTACCAATACAGTGCCGGGCCTGATTGAGTGCCACAGACTCGGAAGCCTGACTTAGTGCATTCCTAACTCACTGCTCCACTTATTTTGATTTTTCTCCCCACAATCAATCTTGACATCTTAATTAGATTACCTCATCTTTTTAATTACCAAAGCGATGCAAATTTAGGGCGAGATTTTACTGGGCCTTTGCAGATAGCTGGGAGGGGGCGATAGCTGGGAAATTTGTGTGTGAAGGTGGGCATGGTGTGTCTGGTGTCTTCTTGCTGCCATTTTGCTGGCAGCAGCAAGGGCAGAGAGGTAAACCTGGTGGCCACTCAGAAGGGCCTGAGGTGAGGATGGCCTTTCTTTGGGAATTCTTTGAGATGCCACCCCCCTCTCCCTGTTGCCATAGCAGCAAGGGCTGGAGCCTGCCTGACTGGTCCCAGTATCCTCACTTACCTGACTTTGGAGGTGCAGAGCCATCAGTACACCCTCATCCTGCAGGCACAGTCCCAGCAGTAACCACTGCTCTGATTGGGCTGGTATCTCTTGTAGATAGGCCCAGTCCTTAATAGGGAGAGTGGCTCCACTGGCAGATGTGTAATTGCCTGCTGTGTTAACAAAATGTGTCCCCATTTTCCTGCCACCAATTTTCTGGCCTGGGAGCAGGAACCCCTGCCTCCAACGCAAAATCCAGTCCCTTAGTCTATTTTTTTTTTATTTTAACTTGTCTCCATTATTAAGTTCCCTAACCCTTCATTCTGCTGAATCTGAGTCACACCGTCTTTGAGGACAATTATCCTTCCTGAGGAGTTGGCTCCTGATCTGAATGCTATATTCTTAATGTGCTCCAAATAAAGCTTTATATAAATTGTATAGTTTGTATTGTACACACTTTATGACACCATCATTAGCTTTTTTAGTTATTTTCTCAGTGCATGTTCATTAGTTTTAGTGCTTTCAGTTCTTGGGTCCTTAAATCTCTCTGGTCCTAAACAGTTCCTGGGTCTTACTCTTCAGTAAATAAAACCTTTGGGCCCTCAACAATTTACAATCCAAATAAATGATTGGATGAAGGGGCTGAAAGTATGGTCATTAAATTTGCTGATGATACAGGAAAGTACGTTGTCAAGATGATGTAAAGAATCTGCAACTGGATATTTACAGTGAGTGGTCAAAATTTGGCAGATGGGGTACAGTGTGGTGAAATATGAACAAGTCCACTTTGGCAGGAGGAATAAAGAAGCACAATATTATTTAAATGGAGGAAGGCATAAAAGAGAGGGTGTCATGGTATCTGAATAAGTAAGAAGTATGCAGGGTACGGTAAGTAAGTAATTAGGAAAGTAAATGGAGTGCTGCCGTTTATTGCCAGGGAAATTGAGTTTAAAAGTAGGGAATTGTTGCTACAGCTGTGTGGGATCTTAGTGAGACCACATCTGGGGTACTGTGAATACTTTCAGTCTCCTCACTTAAAGAAGGTTATAATTGCACTGGCTTGGATCACCTGATCTGAAAAGTTAACTCTGATTTCTCTTCATCGATGCTGCCAAACCTGCTGAGCTTTTCCAGCAATTTCTGCTTTGGTTTCTGATTTAACACATCAGCAGTTCTATCGGTTTTTATTAATTATATAATGAGGAAAGGTTGAGCAGATTGGGCGATTGGAACTTCGAAGGATGAGAGGTGATCTTATTGAAACATATGTGCTTCTGAGACAACTTGAAAGACTGGATCTTATGTTTTCTTTCGGCTAATTGTCAGTCCATTTTAGTTTCGTGGAGGGATTCTTGCTGCAAAATTTAGCAAGATCTCTTGCAGCACCATACCAACCTCACATTATTGCCTATCTACGCTGCCAATAGGGTGCTCCTCTTGCCTGACTGTAGCTCCATCCTATGCTCCATTCAATGTTTCTCAAGCAGCTTGCAACTCCTAGGATAATAAGATGTGGATGAAGCCATTCAGCTCATCAACTCTGCTCCACCATTCAATGAGATCATGGCTGATTTGATAATCTTCAACTCCACGTTCTTGTCTTATTCCCATAACCCTTCATTCTTGGATGATTAGAAATCTGTCTATCTGCCTTGAATATATTTAATGACCCAGGCTCTGTAGTAAAGAGTTCCACGGACTCACTACCCTCTGAGAGAAGAAATGCCTCCTCATCCCTGTCTTAAATAGTTGAACCCTTAATGTGAGAGGAGTAATTCCAGGAAGAATAGTTGGTAAGCGACAGGAGATGTTTGCTCTCAGCTCACCAGAGATATCCAGAGACCCTGAGGGGTCCTGCATTCACAGTAAAGATGCTCATCAGGACACTGAATCGGAATGTATCAGTAATATTTCTGAAGAAGGGTCTTGACCCGAAATGTCAGATTTCCTGCTCCTCTGATGCTGCTTGGCCTGCTGTGTTCATCCAGCTCTACACCTCGTTATCTCAGATTCTCCAGCATCGGCAGTTCCTACTATCTCTGTATCAGTAATAGTAACTGGTTTGAAGAAAGTCACTGACCATATCTGTGGTGTCTCGATAGATATGTGCAGAGCACAGGACTATGTCCATAACAGTGAACCTAGTAGCAGTCGCACTGACTGGAAAGGAATTTGTGCAGATGTCTTGGTTGTTGGAATGGAGCACTCTGTCATTCGAACCTCAAAGTGACTGTGACAGAATTACAAACAAATATCTCTCCGAGATTATGCAATTTGATCCAGGCAATTTTTCATAGTTTATGGCCAATTGAATCTATCTGATTCAACACGGAGGTTCTAGCAGATATCCACTAATCACTGATGTTATATCTCGGAACAGAAATAGGTACATGCATTTCAAAATCTTACGGTGCCTGGACACTTAGCAAAAAGCAATCAGAGACTTCCTGACCATGCTAAAACAGATCAAATAGAATGTCATTGTACTAAAATGAAGTTTACTGTTGTATTTGTACATATTTCAACGGAAATATTACTTGCTAATTTACACCTAAGAGAATACTTAGGAAAAATAGATTAGAGGTGAAAGGTACGCAATTGAAAATACTGAGAGGGAGCATGGTAGTTAAAAGCAGCGAGAAGATGTCAACAGTGGCTCGGAAGTAGCATTAATACGTCATAAAGTTGTGGATTTAAGCCCATAAGCTAGCATGACATTTTAGTCAATATTGAGGTGGTGTTCCACCGGTGTCATATTTTGGATGAGATATGGAACAGAGGTCACATCTACCTCTCAGATGGACTTGAAAGACTCCATGAGGAATTCTTTTTAGTATCTTGGTAATATTCATCCCTCAGCTAACATCACTAAAACACTTGGTCATTTATCTATTTGTAGAAGCTCTGTTCAGATTGGCTGCTATGTTTCCCTCTGTACAATGGCACTTCATTGGTTGCTTTGGCACGTAAAAGGTGGTACAGATGCATGTTCTTTATTTCCTTTAAGAAAGCAAATGCAACTCTATTCAGTAATAGAGATTATTTGAACATACGTTAGCTGGGCAGACTGTTTCTTGGCAAGTTTGGGAAATTATGGCACAAGGATTTCGGAATAGGAATCATGAAAATCAAATGTCAAAATGCAAATTGTTTATAGTTATTTCTGAGGAGATTAAACATATTGTTAGAACTTCTTTTTATGCAATGAGCCACAGATATTTCTTGAGCACTAATGTTGTATAGTTGGCTACTGTGCACCATCCTCCTCCATGGGATCCCAACTGCCCAATAGCTTACTGACCTTGCGTTCCTTTTCCTTCGTTGTAACCAGGAACTTCATTGAAAAGAAAAAAACTACACAGCATGTAGCAATTGATTTAGCCTGTGACAGAAAATTGAGGGAAGTACAAATATTTACAGGCAAAGGACGTGTGCTGCCTCTCGTGAGGACTGATTCAAATTCAGGGGTGAGTATTTTACACAATTTTCAGATAGTTTCACTGGATGTGCACCTTCCTTAAGCCTTGCAGTTAAATGAATCTATTTGAGGTGCCTTGCTTATAGGAAACAGTTCCCAAAAATTAGGCAGATGTATATTACATTAGTTTTAAGTATCTATTAAGGTTCCTATTGGCAGCAGTCTAGCAATGTTGGACACACCGTCCCAATAAATTTAAGAAAATTCATGAATGCCAGCATTCTATCGTGCTCAATTATCCTTTATTCCCTCTTGCTACTGGTTTCTGCTGGGACCTCTGGGCTTCCTAGTGTCAGCTCCGTCTTTAACATGCAGTCACGCATCCAATCAATGCGGAGCTACCCTGTATGGTTCACATGAATTGCCCTGTACACAATGGATCGAGAAAGGTTGGCACCCCACTTTTCTGGCAGAGACCTAAAAGTCCTGGCAGAGGAGGGCTGCCCTCTCCTGCAGGATTAGCAGAGGTGTTCACGCCATCAGCGGTTGCCAGTTGGGTAAGTCCAGTTTCCACGGCCTGGAGGAACACACTGCAATGCTGCAATAAGATCACTGCCTCCTGTACTCTCATCCAGCTCAGATACTGACACCTCAATGGATATTTTAGGTAGATTACAGTCTGCAGCTCATTCTGCTGACAAAGCTGACACAGGAAGACGTGTCCCCAGGTCACTGGCACTCATAACTGTTGGGCACCAGCCATCTACTCAACCCCAGGCAGGAAAGAACCCTCACGAAAATTAAGAACTGCACAAATGTACACAGGAGGTTAGTCTGAGGCACTGGGCAAACTGACTCAAAGGTTGGAGGAATGCAAAAACTCTTTTGGACTATGCTGCCTCTGGCATGCAGACATTTGGATGCCTCTGTCGACAGGCTGGTGTTCACCATGGACAGCCAGGTGCAGAACACTCAGCGTCTACTGGAAATGTGCATAGACCTGCACTCCATCACTGTCATCATTGGTGTTTAGCACCAATAGTAAGGTGACCGGGATGGGGTGAGGGACCTTTGCTTCGCTCCAATTGCTCCTTTCCCAGAAGGAGACTGGGTGGTGCCTGGAGGTACCCATCCAGAGGAGGATTGACACACAGGCTCCTCTCAGCACACTCTAGAGTTAGTCAGGTCTTCCACTTCCACCCTGCCTGTCACCTTCAGCTCTGTTGGAGTTCAAGTTGAGGAGAGTGCACCTGCCTCTGAGCAGGATACACTCAGCATGTCCGGACCCTATGGTCATAAACAGCCCCAAGGTGGCCTGACTGCTTCGTCAAGGCCAACAGACTCCACTCAGCTACAGAGCCTGGGACTGTGTCAAGATGTAGTGGGAGGGAAAGGGAGAAAAAGATCTTTGGAGCAGTATTTCAACTCAACTGAGTATTGGTCTACTTAATGTTATTGCCCTCTGGGGGGGGCGCGGGGGGTTGGGGGATGGGGGTGGAGGGTGGGGGGAGTGGTGGCTCACGATGCATGTAAGTGGAAACCCTTCCGTCAGAGAATAAAAACTTACCACAACCACTGCAGGTCTGTTGTCAGCCATTATGCACATGCACTTTCAATGACAATGGAAGGCAGCTGTCGTCATGTTTCACTGGGTAAGTAACATAGACAGCCTCTCAGTCTGGTCACCACCAAACTCCTCCCATCTTCATTTATCCTTCTTGGTTGCCTTCCCTGTCAACTCCATCAGCTTTGATCTTCCCCACATTCCCATACAACCCATTTATTTCACTATTCATCATCACACTTTAACCCAAAAACCCAGGCATCATTATACTGGACAAAGCAATGCACTGTGCCTCCATGAAGTCAGAGTGGTGCTCCTGCCACTGACCTGCCCTCCAAAATGATCACTATTCTGCCATGCTCTATAGTCTTCCATTGTAAGTTGAGTTGCCTCCCCACTTTACAACTGTTATCCCCAATGCATCCCAGAACACTGCCTCTCTTCCCTACATTGAGCTCCCCAGCTTCCATACTGCAGCAGTGGTCCTTGTTAACATCCCCCTTCACTCTTAGTGGACAGAGCCCTAGGCCTGACTATGGCCCAACCCTTTGACTGACTTGAATGGATAACCCCAGTTCATGAATAGACTCCTGACTGATCCATGTGCATCTCCCTGACTGATTTACCATGGCTACCTGGACTGGTTGCATTAGACCTACAGGACTGACCATGGACCACTTCCTGAACTGTAGAGGTACATGTCCTTGACTGTGACTGCCCTAACTGGCTTGCTGACTGTGTTCAAACCCCTGGAAGCTGACCTTGACTTATTATGCCAGCACCCGCTGACTTATGACGGTCTCCAGACTTGACTTGACAATATCCCTTCGACTCTGAGACATAGCCATTTTGTTGGTGTAAATGCAGTGTGTTTGCTGTGTAAGCTGCTGGTATGTGGTGCATATTGATGTAGCACAGTGCTATGTAACAATGTCCAGGAGAAAATTAGTGCAGATGCTGGAATCTGCACTGAAAACAAAAAATGCTGGAGATCACAACAGGTCAGACAGCATCCCCGGAGACAAAACAAGCTAATGTTTTGAGTCTAGGTGCCTCTTCATCAGAGATGATGTGAAGTGTGAGGGGAGCAGCATTTGTGCAATTGTGGGGACATGGGGGTTGGTGAAGGAGGGTGGAGTGCTGGGGGAGAAAGGATGTTGATAGCTCAGATTAAGTGTTTGGAATATGAGAATGGCAGAACAATATTGTGTGTCTAACTGCCAGGCTGAAAAGAACAGACAGACCCACAGGGCTGGGAACAGGGGAGAGAGGACATGTTGATACAGAATGTAGCAGGTAAAGCTAAAAGAAAGGGAATATGTCTATCCCCTTCAACAATGATAGATGACAGTTATAACAAACTTTGTGTTTGCATTCAATAGCGAGTAAACACAAAAGTATAGTGAGGCTTTGAGCTCTGGTTGAGGGGGAAAAGTACAAAAAAAAGGCAAGATAGAGATGCTGTGAGGATTAAAGTAGGAGCAAAGTCAGAGAGCAGTAAGAGAACAAACAAGGAGAGCAGAGATGCAGCCTAGTCCAATTTATGAGTTGGGTATCTATCCTTGCAGTCCTGGTGACAGCATTGAAGTGCAAACTGTATTGTAAATGGATTAGAGATATACCATGATGATGAGATGAACACCATTGCTCTGCCAATGTTCATGGGTGGGGATGCGAACAGTCACTGCCCATGGAGCCTGGTCTGAGATGGGATATTGGTGACTGCTGTCCCAGATGGAGGACTGAAGAGAAAGCAGAGAGCTGGCATCACTAGGCCAGCCCTGACTTTTGCTTTGGGAATTGTCTCCATTGAGTTTTTACCTGGTGGAAAGGAGAATAGGAAACTGCCTAGAAATAAAGTGAGATTAGCTAATAATGAGATGATAATTCATGCAAATATTCTCACCGCCACTCACTAAAATTATTTAAGCTTGCAATTGCAACCCTTAGTTGGAGAATTGGACTTGCTTTCAATACTGAGAATCTCATTACTCACCCGATTTTCCCAAAACCCATGTTTTTCATGGGCTGTGGGCATTCCACCCCAAGTCAATATGGCTGGAATTTCTAACCTTGGTGGAGTCATTAATCGGGCAATGGTGGATCAAATTTCGAGGCCAGTACTTTAAAGAGTCTTTTTATATATTTACACTGGTGTGGTCTATTTCTATTGCATGCAGCTTTCACAAATGAGAATGATTTATAATGTACAGTAGCAATAAATCTATATTATTTGAGTTTACATTTAACCTCCAACTCCACAATATGTTTTTATTGAAAATTATATCCATAAATAATGTGTACCTATCCATTTATTATAGAGTTAAGAGTAAGTTTGAAAGTTGGTACAATATTTTGAATTTGATCTTGTTTCAGTGCAGCTAAATATTCAGGTGGCTTTGAAAACTCCATCTGCCACTCCTCAGCCCATTGGCCCAACCCTATGCACATGTAGCCACTTTGATGGGGCACCCACCATGCATAAGAACATTGAGCCCATGAAAGGACGTGGATAGTTGACATGCATAGAGTTCACTCATCAAACACAGGGACGATGATAGAAAACCTGCATGCATCTTTTGCAATACACAGACTCCCAGAAGAGCTGGTCACAGATATGGGCCATTTTCCACCAGCAGGGAATTTAAGTATTTCGTAAAATAGTATTCGGCATATGAGGTCAGCTCCATATCATCCGTTATCCAATGGTCTGGCAGAAACAGCAGTCCAAACTTTGAAGGCAGACTTAAAGAAACAGCTTACAGCTTCACTAGATACCAAATTGTCCCAGTTCCTATTTTATTATAGGACCAACCCTTATTCAACTACAGGAATAGCTCCAGCCAGGTTGCTAATGAGGAGAAGACTCCACACTAGGTTAAATCTGATTCTCCTGGACCTGGGGGAGAGAGTGAAACGGCATCAGGAACACCAGTACCAGACACAAGACTCTGCCAAGTGAGAGAGAAGGTTTACTTCAGGGGACAAAGGTATGTCTGGTGGCCAGGATACAGAGTGGAAGGTGGGGATGGTTGGTGGGGTGGGGGGAATCTCCCCTCTTCTTCTGAGTAGTATCATTAACATGCCACTCTCATCACCACTGAAATAACTTCATAGATCCCGGTATCCCATCACCAAGTCACCCCATGTTTACACATATGTAGTATCGTAGAATCCCTACAGCATGGAAGCAGGCCATTCAGTCCAACAAGTCCATACTGCCCCTCTGAAGAGCATCCCACCCAGACCCATTCCCCTACCCCTGCATTTCCCATGTCTAACCCACCTAGCCTAAACATCCCTGGGCACAATGGGCAATTTAGCATGGCCAATCCACCTAACCTGCACATCTTTGGGCTGTGGGAGGAAACTGGAGCATCCAGAGGAAACTCATGCAGACACAGGGAGAATGTACTGTATACTGATCCAACTCCCTTAGAGCCAGCTGTTAGAGCGAACAGAACCTCTGACACTCCTGTTTATAT